CTCCTCCTCCTCCTCCTCCTCCTCCTCCTCCTCCTCCTCCTCCTCCTTTTCCTCCTTCTTCTTCCACGTGGATCTCCAGTTATCAGGCTTGGCAGCAAATGTCTTTATTTACTGACCCATCATTGCTCCAGCTCCTCAAAACCATCTTTGCTTAACACACAATGAGGTTTAAATTCCGACATTCCTTTTGAAAGGGGTGCACTCCAATCATAGCACTTGCCCATAAGTTAATATGTATGTGTAAATGTATGTGTACACACACATACACACACATTTCAGACAAGGTCTCACTGTGTATTCCTGGTTGGTCTGGAAATTGCTATGTAGACCAGGCTGGCCTCAAACCACAAGGATCAAACCTCTACATGTTGGGATTAAAGGCCTGCACCACTATACTCACTTCCAAGTTTTGTTTTTTTTGTTTTGTTTTGTTTTTGTTTTTGGTTTTGGTTTTTTGAGACAGGGTTTCTCTGTATAGTCCTGGCTGTCCTGGAACTCACTCTGTAGACCAGGCTGGCCTCGAACTCAGAAATCCGCCTGCCTCTGCCTCCCAAGTGCTGGGATTAAAGGCGTGCGCCACCACAGCCCGGCCACTTCCAAGTTTTGAAAAATTATTTTGTTTACTGTATATGGCTATTTTTGTCTGGATGTATATGTACCACATTCATGCCTGGTATCCTTTGGAGGCTAGAAGAGGGTGTCGGATCTTCTGGAACTAGATTTGCAGTCACCGGAGCACTGGGAGCCAAACACGGGTCCTCTGGAAAAGCAGCAAGTGCTTTTAACCACTGAGTAGTCTCTCCAGCCCTTAGACCTCTGTCTACAAACTTATAAATTTTCTGTGTGTTTATGATGTATGCTATGTATGTGTATTTGCGTGTGAGTGTAGACACACGCATAGTGTTAGAGAGTAACCTTGGTTGCTAGTCTTCACCTTTTTAAATAAAAAAAGGATATATTTTATTTTACGTATATGTATGTTTTGCTTCTATGTACCACATGGATGTAGTACCTATGATGGCCAGAAGAGGGCAGGAATCCTCTGGAACTGCAGTTCCAGATGGTTGTAAGCGGCGATGTGGATGCTGGGAAGGGCTTCTGGAAGAGCATCCAGGGCTCTTTACTGCTGAACCATTTTTTCCAGCCCCATGCCTGGCTTTACTTATGTGTACATTCAGGTGTGAGCGAGCACACGCTCATGCATATGTCAGTAGAGGCCAGGGAGCAGCACCAGAATGTCCTATAAGTACCGCGCCACTGGAGCATCCAAGCACCAGAATGTCTTCTTCAATTTCTCCTCATCTTACATTTTGAGTAGGGCCCTCGCTGACCCTGGATCTTATCACTTCAGTTGTGCTGGGTGGTCAGTGACCTCTGTCTTCGTCTCCCTGGGGTGGTGATAGATGCTCAGAGCCACATAACCCTTAATGTGGGTGATGGGGACCGCGCTTACGTCCTTATCCACAGATCCGTCTCCCCAGACCCCCGTTTTATTTTTGGTTAGTGGCTATGGTGTGGGGGGGTTGGTTTCACTTTGTACTTCTGTGATGATGACTGGTGTAGACACTTTTCACACGCTTGTGGTTCAGTTGTGATGTCTTCTTTGGAGAAGTAACTGCGAGTAAAGTCAGTCCCTTCTTCCTCTTTGTGCTCTGCAGCTTGAGAACCCAACTCGGGCTCTGGGCTCTGCTGTTGTTGTTTTGAGACAGTCTCTCACTATACGGCTCTATATAGTGTAGTCCAGGTTGGCTTGGAATACAGGCAAACCTCCTACCGCACACAGTGTCCTGACTGCTGAAGATACAGGTATGTGTCATTATGACCAATTCCTTTACCTCCAGCCCCTTTTTAGACGGTCTCATACTATAGCTCCTGTAGCTCAGACAGGCCTTGAATTTGCTAGAAAGTCAAGACTGGCCTTAATCTCCTGTTCTTCCTGCCTGTGCCTTCCAGGGGTTGGCATTACAGGGGTATACCATCATGCCTGGCTTTAAGCCTATTTAAAAATACTTATAGTGCAAGCCAGACATCGTGGTACATGCCTTTAATACCAATTTTCAGGAAGATATCTGTGAGTTTGAGGCCAGCCTTTTCATAGCAAATTTCAGGCTGGCCAAGGCTATGTAATGAAACCCTATCTAAAACAAACAAACAAACAAGTATTCACATTGCCAATAAGGACATGGGGACTCTGTGTGTGTGAGGATTGGAACCCAGCCTCAGCTCTACCAGGCTGGACTTAGTTTGATGTAGAGTAAACTCATCCTCTTTCTGCTTGTTTGATTCCTGTCTTCAGAGTGTAAATAGCAGGGTCCTGGATGAAGGAATTTTCTTCTGCTGGCATTTGGTAGTTTTCCTTTGTTGAGACAGAGTCTTACTGGGTAGCACTGGCTGGCCTGGAACTTCTTATATAGACCAGGCTCAAGTTCACCGAGATCCTCCTGCCTCTGCCTCTCTAGTGCTGGCATGAAGGTGTGAGCCACCTTGCCTGACTCCTGAGACAGGCATTTGAACTCTGTCCAGGCTTTAGGGCAGATCTGGGAGTGTCTGATGTGTTAGTCCAGGAGCAGCTGGCTCCTAGCAGTGGCTACAGCCTGCTTTGGAGAGTTGCAGTTTGTCATTTCCCAGCTTTGTGAAAATGGACAGAACTGTATTCATTCTTTCTTTTCAGATTTATTTATTTATTTTATTTATATGCATATACTGTAGCTGTCTTCAGACACAGCAGAAGAGGGCGTCAGATCCCATTACAGATGGTTGTGAGCCACCATGTGGTTGCTGGAAATTGAACTCAGGACCTCTGGAAGAACAGTCAGTGCTCTTAACCGCTGAGCCATCCTCTAGCCCCTGTTTTTTTAATCCCACATTCTCTCCTGGAACAATAGGTGACTCATCTAGGAAAAAGATGGTATAAATCCATTTTACAAAGCTGATTTGTGCAGGATATATGATCCCAGGTAAGAACTAATGCCTGAGATTTCCCTGGTGAAGGGTGGCCAGTGTCCCAGGTTTAGGTGGGTGGGCCCAAGTTCTTTTCCAACACCCTCAACTAAGAAAGGAGTGCTTGGGTCCAAGTGGCGGTGCCCATGCGGAAGGTATGTGCTTTTCCTCTTTGCTACTCCTTGTCCAAATCCTGTTGGCGAATGCATCTTCTTGCCTGAGGGTTTGTGAGCAACTGAAAGAGATTGGAACGAGGTTGCGCATGTCCGATTTACAGTTTGTAAATATTTAGACATTTCTACTCTTGTCCTCAACTGACTCCACAAAGTAACAGGGCTGGCTTGCTGGTGAACTCAGCTTTCCAGCCCAGTGTCTATGCTGGGGCAATAACCACCACATTCTTTCTTCTGCCCAATTCCTGATGGTTCCTCCTCTCTTACTGTCTTAGCTGGGAACCTTTTCCTCAGGTTCCCTGGGAGCCACCGGTGTTTCCAGTGGGTGTTTTATGGAGAGCCAGATGGCAGGATTTCACTAATCTGCATGGTTTACCCCACCCCCATCTGAGGGCTGGGTCTGGGCAATCGGCTCAGCTTTGACCCTTCAGGGAACTGTGCCCAAGTTTTAAATTGAGTGGTTCATACCTCTTCCTCCTTCTAAATGTCTGTGCATTCCCTCAGCTTGCTTTTCCAAGTTAAATTTTTATTATTATTTTTTTAATAGAAAGAAAGGTTTATTTACCACACTGCAAGGGGCAACTGGCTGGGCACTAACAGGAGCCCCAGCCGCAGACTAAGGACTGAGGAGTCTTCCAGAGCGTTTGAAAGGTGTGTTGGCAGGCGCTAGAGACTTGCCTGGAGCTGGGAGGAGCTGGTATGTGGATGAAAGTCCCTGAGTTTCTGGATAACCATAGTTCCTCTGGGAGAGGAGGGAAGACCTGGCCAACCAGGCTCAGATATGTTTTAGTCACGTAGTCATCTTTGGGCATTGTTAGAAGTGTGAGATTTATTTATTTATTTATTTATTTATTTATTTATTTATTTATTTATCATTTTTTTGAGGCGGGATCTCTCTACATAGCTCCGACTGTCCTGGAACTCAATATGTAGTCCAGGCTGGCCTTGAATTTACAGAGACCCACCTACCTCTGCCTCATTAGTGCTGGGATTAAAAGCATGCATCAGCATGTCCATCTTGATGTGGTACAGGGGATCAAACCTGGGGATTCTACATCAGACCTGTGGCATTCCACCCACTGAGCTATATCCCAGGCTCCTGTGGTTAAGATTTTTCATAGGATAAGACAAAGGCTCAGAGAGTCAAGCCACTTGCCTAAAGCCAAGTTATGAATGACAAACCAGATACAAACTGAGGTCTTCATGGCTGGAGAGACCCCATTCTTCTCATTCCATTTTACCCTTAGTTTGTCCCCCAAGAAAAACTGACATATTTTCTTTTTGACATTTACTATTAAATTGTCAGTGGCTTAGTGGTTCATTTATTCCTGGCCACAGATACTGGGAATAAAGAGACTGGGTTTAGTCTCTGCTCTCAAGAAGCTTCCATCCTGGTAAGGAAATAAGCATAGAAATCAATGTCCAAGCCAGGCACACCTATAACCCAGCACTCAAGCCCTTGGGAAGGAGAGGCAGGTGGATCTCTGTGAGTTCAAGGCCAGCCTGGTCTATAGGGCGAGTTCCAGGACAGCCGGGCTACACAGAAAAATCCTGTCTTGAAACAAGCCAAAGAGAAAAGAAGTCAATATCTAATGCATAGGGTGAGCTGGGCACAGTGTGGAAGGCTTGGGGTCCCAGCAAATCTGAATTCCAAGTTCAATTCCTGCCTGGATAAGTTAATGAGACCAGAAGAGCTAAAGGAGAACTTGGGGTACACCTCAGTCGTAGAATGCTTGGTCAGCATATGCAAGGTCCTGGATTTTTACCCGTACTACAGAAAAACAATTGTAGCAAAGCATCATGTAGGTTGATAACATGTTGGCACTTCTTTTGGCAAACGAAGTGAGTACATTGCTCACCTAGCCATAGGCTTTCTCCATGGGCTTGTGCAGGCATGACACAGGACAGGGCCCACCATGTCTTGAGCTGGCCCTCTGACTGGAGATTTTCTAGAGATAGTCATGGGCATCCCCCTAACCAGAGCCAGACCCAAGAGAAGGAAGGTACTTCCTGTGTGGGTTGTGGGTAGGGACATAATTTCCCCACAGATACAGAGTAAGCTCCACGAGTCACCCAGCTGTGGACTACAGCCACTCCCTGCCCTTCTCTGAGGGGTAGACCAGATGTTCTTCCAACCTCAGGAACTCCCCCCCACCCCAGAGTATCGCTCCCCAGTCAGGGGGTCCAGCAGGACAGAGAAGAGGATCAGAAGAAGGGGCTGAGGCTATGGGACAGGGATATGCACATTTTCTGGTCTCTGGTATGTCTTTACTGATTGAAGGTCTCAAAGACCCCTGGTTTCTATTGTTATACCTACCATTGTGTACCTTATGGGCTGGTTGCCGCTTATTAGAGATCTTGCCTAGCATGTGTGAGACCTCAGGTTTAATCTTCGGTACAGGAGAAAAATAATTACTGTTGACAATTTCTTTTTTTTTTTTTTTTTTTTTAAATTTATTTATTTTATTTATGAGTACGCTGTCTTCAGACACACCAGAATAGGGCATCCAATCTCATTACAGATGGTTGTGAGCCACCATGTGGTTGCTGGGATTTGAACTCAGGACCTCTGGAAGAGCAGTCAGAGCTCTTAACCGCTGAGCCATCTCTCCAGCCCCCTGTTGACAATTTCTAAAACAATCCAAAACAGAGCAAAACAGAAACAAAAGCTATTCTATCTTAACACAAATAAGATGCATTTTACAGAAAACAATCGGGACTGTCTAAAACAAACAGTTTACGGGGGTAGGGGAGAGTGGCATCTCTGTACGTTGTTTACAAAGCCTTTTACTGTTGAATTAAATAGGAAACAGCTGGGGTCTCAGAGTGGCGCCCACATTCTCTGTATGCAACAAGCTGCTGCTTTGGTGAGGAAACGCTTGGCATATGCAGGTGTGCTGGTAAAAGGAAGGTTGTTTTCTTCTTGTGCTGGGGATTGAACTCAGAGCCTGGCACATACAGAGTTACTGCTCTTACTTATAAGCTCAGAGGGCCGCAGCCGGGAGAGTGCTTTCAGATAATTGATGTTTTTAAAATTTGATTTCAAATATTTTTATTAGTATGCATTAATTAATACCAAATAATGGGCTTTATTACAGCATTTCCTGTAAGTACATAAGGCATTTAGACCGTTGTCACCTCGTTACTCTGGCTTGCTGTCTCCCACTGATCTGCTCTCCTTCCCAATCACTCTCTCTGAAAGTAGGCGTCTGCTTTTCTGTTTGTTCTGTTTCTTTGATAAGCCACTAAGTTTCATTAGGGTTGCTTACAGGAATATGTATGCACGGGTAAGGATTTATTTATAGGCTTATTTCTATTTTGGGGGTGTGAGTATGTGTGTGTGTGTGTGTGTGTGTGTGGTATGTGTACACATGTGGGTACATTCCCTTGTGTGTTTCGAGGAGGATATTGGGGTCCTCTTTCATTTCTTGCCAACCCTGGAGACACATTTTTGTTGTTGATGTTGTTGTTTACAGCTCTTCTTGTAGCCAGCAGGGCCAGCAATCCTCCTGTCTCCAACCTTCACTGTCTGTGAGGACCGCATCAAGACCTTTCACGGGTGCTGGAATCCAAACTTACAGTCTCATGCTTGAACAGCAAGCACTCTTAACCACTCTTTGTTTTTCCAAGACAGGGTTTCTCTGTGTAGTTCTGGCTGTCCTGGTCGCTCTGTAGACCAGGCTGGCCTTGAACTCACAGAGATCTTCTTGCCTCTGCCTCCTGGGTGCTTGAGTGCTGGAATTAAAGGTGTGTACCACAACCTCCAGGCTTCTTAAGAACTCTTAACAGCTCTTTTGTTTTGGGACAGGGTCCCACTGTATAATCCTGGCTGTCCTGGTCACTCTGTAGACCAGGCTGGCCTTGAACTTGAAGCAGTTCCAGGCATGTGTCACAACTCCAACTAACAAAAAAATGTATGTTTAAATCCTTAAGATTTAATAAAACTGATACCTCAGGGTTGACCAGATGGCTTGGTAGGTGTAAGAATGTCTGCTGGAAGCTATATGACCTGAGTAAGCTCCTTGGGTCCCAGGTGGTGGACTGAAAGAACCAACTTACAGAAGTCTTCTGACCTATATGCATGTACCATGGCACTAGTGTGCACAGGTACACATAATAAATAAATAAATAAACAAACGTATAAATATTTTAAAAGATAACATTCTCGATTTATCAAAGACATTTAAAAATTCTATTAAGTATTATATATGTATGCAGTTTTTTATTATTGTGAGTTTGTTTGTATGTTTGTTTGAGCCAGGGCCCAGTATTGCCTACTTGGTCTCAGACCCCTTACTTCAGTGAGAATTCTTTATGCCCCTGGCTCTGTAGATCAGGCTGACCTCTGACTCACAGTGATCCATGTGCCAGGACTAAAAGTATGTACGTCTTTAATCCCAGCACTCAGGAGGCAGACAGACAGGTGGATTTTTGAGTTTAAGGCCAGCCTAGTCTACAGAATGAGTTCCAGGACAGTCAGGGCTATACAGAGAAATCTTGCCTTGAAACAAGAAGAAGAAGAAGGAGGAAGAGGAAGAGAAATAAGAGAAAGAGGAGAAGAAGAGAATTAGCAATATAATTATAATTCACAGTGTGACTCAAGGACATATTTTTTTTCTTGTTTTTCAAGACTAGGATAGATTTTTTAAAAATTTAGAGAAATTATTATCCTACTAAATGGAGCAAAGATGCAAAAAATGTTCTCAAAAAGGTTTCAATGGCAACTGACATTTCCTTAAATGTGCTTGTATCTTTTGAGTGTTTTACCCTCGGACGGCTCCTGAGGGGATGGATGCCATTAGTGAGGCTTCTCGCCTGTTGCTGTGCTTGAGTCCTTGGTACTGGGAATAAATTTAGAAGAGACAGTTTCTGGTTCTCACAGGTGGCTCAGCTTCCATGAAGAACTGAAATTCAGATGAAGTCTCAGTCATGAGTTGAAATAGAAAGGAATGGAGGGGTGGCTTGTTCTAGTTTCCTTCCCAATGCCTTTACTAAACGAGTCTGACCTAGCCGGGCAGTTGTGGCACACGGCTTTACTCCCAGTATTCAGGAGGCAGAGGCAGGTGGATCTGAGTTCTAGGACAGAGAAACCCTATCTAAAAAAAGAAAGAAGAAAATAAATAAATAAATAAATAAATAAATAAATAAATCTAAAAATCAACCAACCAAACAAATAAACAAAATATTCTGACCAAAAACAATTTAGAAAGGAATGCGGAATGGGTTTACTTAGCCTACTCCAGTGTGTCATTGAAGGACGTCAGACACAAGAAGTCAAAGCAGGAAACCAAAGGCAGAGAGCAGCTTGCTGTTCCACAGAGCATTACCTTCCACAAGGAGCTCACTTCACAAAAAAGTACAGCAGGAACCATGGAGGAGGATGCTTGCTGGCTTTTTATACAGCTCAGGATCATCTGCCTAGAGGATGGTATCACTCACGGTGGGCTGTGCCTTCCTCCATCAAATAACAGTTGAGAAATTCCCCATAGACATACTCCACAGGCCAATCTGGGCAACTTCTCAACTGAAGCTGTCTTCTCAGATGACTCTAGGCTGTGTCAAATTGGGAGAACTAACTAGAATACATAGCTTTGAGGCAGAGTCCTTGCCTAGCAGTATACAGAGGTTCTATCAGCATTGGGAAGGAGGGTGGGAAGGAAAGAAGGTAGAAAGAGAGGAAAGGAGGGAAGGAGAGGAGGGAGGAAGAGAGGGAAGGAGAGGGGGGAGGAGGGGAGAGGAAGAGAGACAGAGACAGAGAGAGAATATGGAAGAGCCTTCAAGATAGCAGCTTGAATCTGTGAGGTCTCGATAGTTCTGAAGACCTTCCAGGGAAGTCACTCTAGCTGGAGACTGATGAGAAGGGACCCAGGGTGCAGGCAGAGTGGAAGCTGGAGAGCTGGAGGTTAGGGTAAGGGATATGTGGTAGGCTTCCTTCAGTTCTTAGAAACTGCCAGCTCTTTACCTGTTCAGTCCTGGCATCGTGCACGGCATCTGCTTGGGGAGTTTGCACCCTTTTTCCTCTAGACGGTCACAGAAATGCCACCTGCTCCCCCAGGTCGCCTTTTGTTCATCAGATTAGCACCCCTTTTGTTCTTTGTATATCACCTGTCTGTTTGAATTCCTTTAGGTTTTCCTCCATCATGGGATGAGAAACTTGTTGAAGGCAGGGCTGCTTTGCTGCTGTGCTCTTCAGTGTGCCTGATAGAGTCGGGCATAGAAATATTTGTTGAATGGATGGGTGGGAAAATGAAGGGATTTGAGATCCTGACCACTGCTTTTCTATAAGTGTGTGTGTGTGTGTGTGTGTGTGTGTGTGTGTGTGTGCATGTGAGTGATTTTTTTTTTTGAGACAAAATCTTATGCTATACTCCAGGCTAGCCTTCAACTTTACTATGTAGTACAGGCTGGCCTGATATTCACTATAATCCTCTTGCTTTAGTTTCTCAAGCACTGGGATTACATATGTGAGTCACCAGGCCAGGCTACATGGCTATTTAGTGTCCTATAATCTCTGGCAGTCCCTCAGTCTTCCTTTGTCTTTCATGACCATGACACTTTGAATAGGCACTGCCCAATCATTTTGAAGGATGTTTATAATTTCGGTTTGTTGGGTTTTAGGTGGAGTAGGAGGTCCCACTCTTGGTCACATGCATGTTAAGCAAAAGAGACCACTGTGCTATAACTCTTTTGTCTGTTGAATGGATTAAAAAATTTTTTTAAAAGATAGACTGTTATTATGTAGCTTAGGTTATCCTAAAACACTCTGTAGGCCAGGATGGCCTCAAACCCATGATGATCTTTCTACTTCTGCTTCTCAAGTGAATTCATTCCATCACAGATGTGTATACCACAATGCTGTCCTAAAATTCATTTCAATATGAATTTTAAAAAATCTTTATTTTATGCATACAAGTGCTGCAGCATATCTATGTATCATGTGTGTGCTTGGTGCCTGGTAGAGGGCCAAAGAGAACATCAGATTCCCCCGGAAGTGGAGTTACACCACATACACACACCACATACAGACACACACCTCACACACAGAGGCCTACACCACACTGCGCACAGAGGTCAGAGGTCAGAGGACAGCTAGCACAACTCAGGTCTCTCCTTCCACCACGTGGGTCCTGGGGTTCCAATCAGACCACCAGGTTTGGCTACAGATGCCTGTTGAATCATCTTACAGGCTGCTGACCGTTTATGCAGACTCTGCCTTCACCACCTCCCTCTTAATCCTTGGGGTTTAAGTTTCAACATGAATCCTAGAGAGGACTCCAACATCCAAACTGTAGCAGGGAGCCTTGGAATTGTTGATGTGAGGGGATCTCTCCCTGGCTCTTTACTAACCAGAGTCTTCGACTGTTCTTTCAGACATATACAACGCTCCATGACCAGGTGACCCTTCCTGCCCAGAGCAATGGAGCAAAATGGCTCCTCTCGTGTGGATTCTGAGTTTCGATACACCCTCTTTCCGATTGTTTACAGTGTTATCTTTATACTGGGGGTGGTTGCCAATAGCTACGTGCTATGGGTCTTTGCCAACTTGTACCCTTCCAAGAAACTAAATGAGATAAAGATCTTTATGGTGAATCTCACTATAGCGGACTTACTCTTCTTGATCACCCTCCCGCTGTGGATTGTCTACTACTACAACGAGGGCAACTGGATTCTACCCAAATTCCTGTGCAACCTGGCTGGCTGCCTCTTCTTCATCAATACTTACTGCAGTGTGGCCTTTCTAGGTGTCATCACTTACAACCGCTACCAGGCAGTAGCCTATCCCATCAAGACTGCTCAGGCCACCACCCGCAAGCGTGGCATCTCTTTGTCCCTGGTCATTTGGATATCCATCGTGGCTACTGCATCCTACTTCCTGGCCACAGACTCCACCAACCAAGTGCCCAATAAGGATGGCTCCGGCAACATCACCCGCTGCTTTGAGCATTATGAGCCATACAGTGTGCCCATCCTTGTTGTTCATGTCTTTATTGCCTTCTGCTTCTTCCTTGTCTTCTTTCTTATCTTCTACTGCAACCTGGTTATCATCCACACGTTGCTCACGCAGCCCGTGAGGCAGCAGCGCAAAGCGGAAGTGAAGCGCCGGGCACTGTGGATGGTCTGCACGGTCTTGGCGGTATTTGTCATCTGCTTTGTGCCTCATCACGTGGTCCAGCTGCCCTGGACCCTAGCGGAGTTGGGCTACCAGACCAACTTCCATCAGGCTATCAATGATGCCCATCAAATCACCCTCTGCCTCCTCAGCACCAACTGTGTCTTAGATCCTGTTATCTACTGCTTTCTTACCAAGAAGTTTCGAAAGCACCTCAGCGAAAAGTTTTACAGCATGCGCAGTAGCCGGAAGTGCTCCAGAGCCACTAGTGACACGTGCACGGAGGTGGTAGTGCCAGTCAACCAGACTCCTGTCGTGTCACTGAAAAATTAATCTCTGCTTTTTAAAACCAGACCCAGAGCCTTCTCTTTTATGGACCTCACAGACAGAGCTGAGAGGTAAGAGGTTTCTGCCTGTGGCCAGCCCCTCCTTGGACCGTGGTGGACTCATGTACGGCAGTTACTTCCTTGCAGAGAGCCGGTTGCTGGAAAATACAGAACTTAAATGTTCCTTTTCACCCATCTTTGGGTCAACACTAGAGGATTGTGGTTGATGGACTCACCCAGAACTTCAGATTGTGACATCCCAGCTAGGGCCAGACCTTGGGGAGAGACGCTGAGCAGCCCAGTTCATTCAACTGGGGCAGCAACTTAAAGTTTGGGCAGTGACTTCCAGGGGCTACAGGAAGAGGGGAGTGGGGTTGTGGGGACTCTTCACTGATTGCGTGGAAGATCTTAGGGGAAGCAATCGTGTTTAGGATGGTGCCCTCCTTTGTCCACCTACAGGTACAACAAGGTCCTTTTGACCCTTCCAAGAGGAAGTGGTTTGATAGTATCTCCTGACTGACCCCAGAAGCTAGGATGGGAGGGTGTTTCCTGAGGCAGCTGAGTTTGGCCCAGGGCTGAATGAGTGCTGAGAGGAATGGAAGAGAGGTGGCTACCTCAGGACACTGCACTCTTCACTTCAGGTAGAGAGTGTCTTTTAAGGTCCTCTGGCCACCTGGTGGTGATTTTTTGGCAAGTGTCTTAGTTCCATCTCACACACTGTGCCCAGCCTCCCTGTCAGAAACAACTCAAGGAGGGAGAGATTTATTTTGGCTCACAGTTTAGAAGACTACAGTCCCTCAAGGCAAGGAAGGCCCGGCAGGGCAGCTCAGACTCTGGTGGTGGGAACGCCAGACGGAGGCTGTTCATGTGGCAGTGAACCAGGAACCAAGACTGCACCTTAACCTGGAGGTGGGATACAACCCACCCCCAGCCACCTACAGCCAGGTCCTACCTCCTAAAGGTTCCACAGTCTCCCAATTAGAGAGAGCACAGCCCTGGCCGGTGAGATGACAGTGCAAGGTAGAGCAGCTAACACTGCTGATCAGAGTTTGATCCCAGAAGCCACATGATACAAAGAGAGAACAGACTTCTGAAAGTTGTCCTTGGACTTTTACTTTCATACTGTGGCGCACACACGCCCCAACGCCCCATATACATATAAATAAACAAATGTACAAAATTAATAGAATAAAGCAAAACAAATATGACCCCAAGGGAATATACACGAAATACCAGGTGTATTCAAAATACACCTGCTATTTCATTTAAGTGCGATCCCCTCCTGCCCTCTGAGGAGTATCCAGAAGCCTCAGACTCAGAACTCTGAGGACCGTTTCCTGTTTTCCTGAATGTTGTCCTTCTTTAAATTAAAAAAAAAAAAAAAAAAAAAAGTCCTTCCTTCCAGCGAGTGTCTCCTTGAAATTGGGTCAGTTGCTTCCTGTCTGCTAGACAAGCATGGGCTTGTTCCAATAGGCAGTAACCTGTTTGGGTTTGGTGTGATGGTGGTAGCCTGGACCTGGCTGAAGGGGACTAAGTAGCTAAAACAACATACTTGAACTTTGACATCTTACAAACTCAGGTTCAAGTCTTCCTGTGCTAACTGCTGCTCAGGACGTGGGAATTTAATTTTCTACCTCTTAGTGTTATAAGCTAGGAGGTTCAACCTACCTCACGGGACTTCTGAGCAGTGTATGTTCAGCTGACTCTGGTTACTTATCCCGACCCTCCCCTTTCCTGAGAATTCCGTGCCCTCAGTCCTTTGATAGGAAATGAAGGGTTGAGAGTTGGACATCTGGATTCGAGGCGCACCTTTCGGGGAGCTATGACCGTGTTTATATGTGAAGTGGGTTGGGTGGCCATCTAGGTGACTGGTAGACAAATGACTTTTCAACAAGGACAGATGTGTTAGGCCAAGCAGAGGCCAGAGAGAAACCAGAACTTGGCGAGAAGACACAGCTTCCAGGGGACATGGGGCACCCACAAGTGCTTTCTCTAAGAGTCCTGGAGGATTCTCTTGTCAAGATTCTATCTCTTTCCTTCCTGAAGCTCACTGAAATGAGTGCCTAATGCTTTCAATCAAATAACATTCTCTGTCTCTCTGTTAATATGGTATATTCTGAATTTCTCTGTCTCTCTGTTAATATGGTATATTCTGAATTTCTCTGTCTCTCTGTTAATATGGTATATTCTGAATTTCATCATCTGCATATCTCTCTTGACATTGGTTTGCAATATTGATGTACCACAGTATGTTTACATAATAAACATTTTTCTTTTCAAATTTAGTCTTTTGTTTTGTTTTTTGTTTTTGTTTTGTCAAGACAGGGCTTCTCTGTGTATCCCTGGCTATCCTAGACTCACGTTGTACACCAGGTTGGCCTCATACTCACAGAGATTTGCCTGCTTCTGCCTCCCAAGTGCTGGGATTAAAGGCATGTGCCACCACACCCTGAAAAATTTGGTCAATTTTTAGGGGAAATAGAAAGCTTAGTGAAAGGGAGAGCCTCCTGAGTGTTGGGATTAAAGGTGTATGCCACCACCGCCCAGCTCTAAAAATTTTTTCTTTTAAAGAAAACATATTGTTAAGGCCTAGGTAACAGTTACCTGGCTAGCCTGCCATTATAAGGAAACTTTCTCATATGTTTCTGCTGTTATTAGGAAACTTTCTAAAGCCAAGACTGATCATGTATTCTATTACGTTCTGGGCCTTTGGAAACCAATCACGATAGAAGTCAGTAGAACTGCTTTGTATAGTTACCCACAATAAGCTTGGACCTGAACCTACCACCCAACAATACTTCCTGTACCTGTGTATAACCTTTTATGGTAGAAGTTGTCTCTGGGGTGGACTCCAACATAAGAGAGACACCTGCCCCAATATAAGAAACTATTTGGAATAAGACTTCCATTTTGAGTAGTGGTTGCATAAAGTTTAAGTTCCCAAGACCTCCCTGGGAACTGATATCCTACTTGGCAGAAAGAGACATGTACGTGGGTAACTGACATCCTGGTTGGCAAGTTAAGACATGAGTGTTAGTCAAGACCCATCCTGGTAGACAAGTGAAGACATGAATATTAGGTAAGGCAAGTCCCCTGTCTCACTTGAATACCCAATCAATGGGAACAGGAGAAGTGTACAACTAAGACATGTTCCTAAGGAAACTCCCTATCCCTAAATTCTGAAATAACCTGGCACAGATGTTTATAGATTTGGGCTTAAAAAACCCTGTAGAATCTCAGGGTTATGGTTCAGTTCTCGAATCTGGTTCATATCTCTGTGGCGTATGCTCAATAAATAATCCCTGTCTGACTAAGATCAGTGTTTGTGTGTGTGGTTTGTGAAGTGATTCCTGCACCCCAACATGTATATTATCAATGTAACAGACAGCTTTGTGGGTTGCTTAGGACTGCTCCTGGCACAGACTAAATGTCACAAATACTGCCCCTAGCCTGACAGACTGTCTCCACTCCACAGAGCCTCCTATTTACGACATTGCAAGACCATGGCCTTCTTCCTCTTATGAACTGAGTTCACATCGTGTAACTTAGTGTTAGCCTTATGAGTGGGACAGTGAGCAGAGGAACAGAACCAGCCAGGCTTTTCTTTACTTCCAGGTCATTCTACCGGTCTCCCAGGGGGGTAGGTTTTGTTGTTGTTTGGAAGTTTTTTTGGTTTTCTGTTTTTTTGGGTTTTGTTGTTTGTTGTTGTTGGTTTTTTTTTGTTTTTTTGTTTTTTTGTTTTTTGTTTTTTTTTGAGAAAAGTTTCTCTATGTAGCCCTGGCTGTCTTGGAACTCGATTTGTAAACTAGGCTGGCCTCAAATTCAAAGATCCTCCTGCCTCTGCCTCCAGGGTACTGGGACTAAAGATGTGTGCCACCACTGTCTGGTTGCCTAGAGAGTGTTTTAAGAAATCAGAGCCAACATACGCATGAGTCAGGGGATTCCAGTCTTTGCCAGTCATGACAAGTTCCTTAAAAAGCAGCCAGACCATCAGAGGACACTCTCACCAGAGTGAGGAGGCAGTGCCTGAAATGGGGGGAACGCCTGCAAACTGACTGTGTGGTAGAGGGTTGACAATATGCAAAAGTCCCCTACAACTCAATAACAGGAAGCCAAACTTGATTGAAAATATAGACAAATGACTTAAATATACATTTCTGCGAAGAAAGCGTATAACTGACTGACAAGCACATGAAAACATGTTCAACATGTCTGATCATTAGGGGAAACCAAACCAAAACCACAATGAGAGAAAACCAGAAAATATTAAGCAGTGATAAGGATGTAGAAAAACAGATTTTTTTTTTGAGTCTGGGTCTCATGTAGCTCAGACTGGCCTTGAACTCCCTACGTAGGTGAGGATGACCTTGACCCTGATTTCCTGCTCCTTCTGCCTTGACCTCCCGAGTAGTAGGATTTTAGGTGGACACCAAATGGTCCAATTTATGCTGTGCCAGAGACTTAACCATTGTCTTGATCATTCAAGGTAGGACTGTACCAAATGAGGCGGTACACCCACAGCCCTCCTAAATAGCAATCTTTGTGCCTTGTTCATGAGAATGTGGAATGATGCAGCCATGTAGAAACTGTTATGATGGCTTCTCAAGCCATCAAACTCAGCTTCTGGGCCTGGTGTCACCAGGCTGGGATTCCAAGACTGGAAGACTGAAGCAGAAGGAGTTTGAGGCCAGCCTGGACCATTGAGTGAGACCTTGTCTCAAACAACAAGCAAGGAGGAGCGAGGTATAGCTCAGCAGTAGAGCACTGAGACTGCGAGGCTTCAGGCACAATGCTTTGTTTTGTTTGGGTCTGTTTTGTTTTTATCCAAGACAGGGTTTCTCTGTGTAGCTCTGGCTGTCCTAGAACTCACTCTGTATCCAAGGTGACCTCAAACTCACAGATATCCATCTGCCTCTGCCTCTTGAGTATTAGGATCAAAGGCTTGTGCCACCACCACTGTCAGGTTTAGGCTCAATTCTTAGTGTTGGGGAGGCAGTGGTCCCAGGGAGAAACCATCACATTTGTCTAGTAATTTCACTCCTAGAAGTATACCTAAAATAACGTAAGTGAGGAATCAAGTCAGTATTTGTACATGAACATTCAGAACAACATTACAGCAGCCAAAGGTGCAAACAACCTATTTGTCTGCTGACTGATGAGTGATAGACAGTAAGTGGTATAGCCCTACCTTAAAATGGAAGGGTGTTTGATGCAAGGTAAACCATCAATGACCTTGAAGGTGTTATACTAAGCAACAGAAAGCAAAGGCAGGCATCAGAGGACAAGTGTGTGATCTCACTTATGTGCCTGGTGCCTGTGGGGCCAGAAGAGGGTGCTGGGTCCTCTACAACTGTGGTTACATGGTTGTGAGCCAGCATTTGGGTGCTGGGACTGAACCTGGGTCCTCTGCCAAAGGACTCAGCAAAACAGCAAGTATTCTTAAACACGGAGCTGTCATCCCTCTAGCTCCATAAAATGATACATTGTTAGGTTGACAGAGTCTAGAATCACCTGGAAGATGGACTTCTGGGCTTGCCTGTGGGAGATTATCTTGGTTGTGTTAATTGAGGTGAAATTCCTGTCCACTGTGGGTGTCACCATTCCCTGGCTGATATTGTAATTTGTCTAACACAGTGGTTCTCAATATTTATTTATTTACTTATTTATTTATTTTTAGCATAGAATAGAGTTTATTCAGGGCATGGAAGGAGAGCAAGGAGGGTAGTAGAGGCAGAGAGAGAGAGAGAGAGAGAGAGAGAGAGAGAGAGATTGAGAGAGAGAACAGAAGTGGAGGCCAGCCATGACCATGACCATGTGGAGAGAGGGGGAAGGGAAGGAGGGAGGAGAGAGGGGGCAGAGAACCTGCAGGCAGGGATCAACGGAGCAAGAGGTTGGTTCTCAATCTTCCTAGTGTTTCGATCCACTAATACAGTTCCTCATGTTGTGGTGACCTCCCAACCATAAAATTATTTTTGTTGCTACATCATAACTGTAATTTTGCTATTATGAATCACAATGTGAATACCTGTGTTTTCTGATGGTCTTGGCTGACCCATGTGAAAGGGTGGTTCAACCCCTGAAAGGTTACAACCCACAGGTTGAGAACCGCTGGTCTAACAGGAGCAAAGGAGGAGCCTGAATTCATTCCCTTCCTGGTTGTGCCTCACGCTCCAGCTGTCTTGAATTCCCCACCATGATGGACTGTACCCACGACAAACCCTTTCTCCCTGAAGTTGTTTTTGTCAGAAACAGAAAAAATAAGAAAGACAATACAGTTCTAAAAAGTAAAAAAAAGGAGGCTGTGTTGCTGCGGTGTGTGGTGTGCGGTGTGGGGTGTGGGGTGTAGGGTTTGGTGGGGAGCAGGCAAATTCAGACTCCCATGGAAGACTTCCTCACAGCAGGTTCTCGTGTTCAAGGTGGTGTTTCCTGCCTCTGAGGCCACAAAGTCTGAGTCACAGTGTGTGAAAGAGTCTGGTAAGTAAAGTCCCATCCACGTGTGGTATTGTGCATGTGGCTGTCTGAGGGAAGATGACTCAGGGACAAGAAAACGACTTGTCTTTAAATTCCACAAATGCTTAATGGTCTAGCCACATACTGCAGGGCCAAGTTTAAAAAAGAGAGAGGGTCCCGCCTTCAAGTGACAGTGGCAGAATTGTTTACAAACAGACCCCAATACAACAGATGGTTCTACTCAATATTCGGTGCTCACAGGCTTATGAGACTCCATTGGGAGCTTCTCTTCCCAGCTACATTCTCAGAGAGGCCATGTTTGAAAGCTGCCATGTTGGAAGTATTTACACAAGAATGAGCAGGTGATACCAATGAGGAATATTAGCGTCTCAGGCTCAGCTCTGCCACTGAATGGTTGGCTGTGTGATCCTGGAAATCAGTTCACATCCTAAGCTTCGGTTTATTCACAGAATAGGCATGATAAGAGGCAAATCCTTTCTCCTTCCTCTCTTGAGAAGTATGATTTGATACTTGGGGTAGGGTGTGGGTTATTATTTATTATTAATTTATGTTATTAATTCTTGTTTACTTATGCTTCGAGACAAGGTTTTAAGTAAGTGCAAGCTGCTCTCCAACTTACTGTATTGACTGGGCTAGCCTTGAACTGCTGGCCCTCCTGCCTTCCAAGTGCTGAGATTACAGGCAGGCATTACCATGCCTGACTCGTTGGTAATTGGTGCGTGTGTGTGTGTGTGTGTGTGTGTTGGAGACTGAAGTTAGTGTCTTGTGAATACTCTATAGTCTCAGCGCTCGAGAGTTGTTCTTTGTCGATAGT